ACAAAAATAAATATACATAATTTTTTTTTTTTTTAACTATAATTGTTTCATTAAATGTAATAAACACTTGTCATTTTAAGTAGCAAGGCTAAGCAGTATGGGAGTGAGAGACTCCTTAGAATGATCTTGCCTTTTCACAAGTCTTCTTCACTGCACCAGGTGCTGTAAGGGCAAGGACTTGACTCTATATCATTGTCCCCTGCACACATTACCTGGCAGCACATATTTGGGGTTTGTGTTGGCGCTAAGGTTAGTGATAGCATGAGTGCTAGTGGTAGTGTAGAGTTTAAGAGACATTCACTGTTCACCTACTAGCCTTTGTCTGGCTAAACTCCTAGTCATAATTATTTTTTTCCAGTGGGCCTTCATTAATGGCACCACCATATTAGTGTTTCCAAGATGGCTGTCACCAGAAATCTCCTAATCTGCACTTAAGGCATGCCTGGTGAGGACCTCTTGCAGTTAAGAGCACTGTGTTGACACTCGGGATCCCATGAAAGGCAACACAGACAACTGGTTACGCAGCACTGGAGATTGCCTTAAGCACCACCCTTTGTCAACCTGCAGGTTATACATAAGGAAAAGTAGTCCCTACTTTTCCTTATGTATAACCTGCTAGGTAATAATCATGTTTGGGGTAGCAACTTTCCAAGGGACATAGAACACTTTTCTTAAAATTTATTTAAAAAGTTTTTTTCCATAAATGACAAAATCGCCTTAGGCATTCATGTAAATGTAGGCGTGTTAATGTCAACTACTGCCAGGAATTCACATCGGAAGATGTCTGGATTTAAATGGTGGCATTACCATTTACATTATTTACAAATTCAATTTCTTAAGCTTTGTTGCAAGGTTGGTTTGTTTTTTGTTTTGTTTTGTTTAAACTGTCATTTCAGAAAACTAATAAATTGCTAACAAAAAAAATTTATTTAGTACAAATGTATAAACAAAAACAATTTGACACTGCAGGGCCTAATTGCAAATTTATAGGACTCTTGTGTGCGGAAAGGCAGTAATTCATGTTTAAATTTGTTCTGATAACACAGATCATGTTACTTTGTTCCAGAAACTTAACACAATTACATTGCTGTTAATTATTTCCATCTAAAGAGACAAAGATGTGCAAGGATCCAGCTTGCTCCATTTCTTGTCATCTGTTTGGGGAAAAAAGTCCTAATTTGGAGGAGATAGATACCTATTTGTCACTGTTGTTGGTTTGCCAAAAATAAATTAAACCATTAATTACTCTGTTTTTTTGAGCAGCTGTTAATAGATTGAAATCTGAAAATTGAACATTAGACTGCTAGTTGAATTGATGTACTATTAGTGACACAGTGAGTCCATCAACTGATTTAAGTAAGAATAAAGGTGAATCGTTACATAAAATAAGAGGAAGAAAAGTCAGTTCAAGATGCTTTTTTCCTCTGACAATTATTTTTTGTGGACTTTATTTAAACAGAGGTAACCAAAATGTACATGAACATTTGTAAAACTACATCTCCCAGGATACTTTTACATTCTTTGACTGTTAAGGCTTCATAGGAGTTATATTCCTACAACAACTTCTATTTGACCTCCACTGATTTAGAATATTTTCCCTATAAGGATTTGCCAGACTACTCCAGATCCCGCTTCCCATGTCTGACTAATCCAGATCCCGCTTCCCATGTCTGACTAATCCAGATCCCTCTTCCCATGTCTGACTAATCCAGATCCCGCTTCCCAAGTCTGACCACTCCCAATCTCGCTTCCCAAGTCTGACTAATCCAGATCCCGCTTCCCATGTCTGACTAATCCAGATCCCGCTTCCCAAGTCTGACCACTCCCAATCTCGCTTCCCAAGTCTGACAACTCCAAATCCTGTATTCTACGTCCAACAACTCCAGATCCTGCTTCCCACCTCTGACCACTCTAGATGCCACTGCCTAACTCAGACCATTTATCTACCTACTTTCAACTACTCCATGTAAATCTGCTTGCTCCATATCTGCTTTATAGCAATCTGCCTACATAAGACACACATGCATAGACTAGCAGGGGTAGGCAACATTCTGCATTCGAGATGTTGTGGACTACATGTCTCATGATGCACCTTTTAACCATAATGCTGGCTGAAGCATCAAGGGAGGAGTAGGAGACGTCCACAACACCTGGAGTGCCAAAGGTTGCCTACCTCTGGCATAGAGAATATAAAGTATTTAAAGTAGCAGTTATAGTGCCAATAGTACCCTGCTGTGTAAGCAGTAAAACCATTTGCGAATGATTTGTAATTTACATGGAAGCTGCCCGGCACCAGCCCCCTACTCTCTGAGAGCCGGAAATTATATATAGTCACCTTGCTGCTCTCTGCTAGTTAGCTGGACCATTTATAAAAGGGTTTAGCCAACGGAAGCTCCATGCAGGGACTTCCAGCACTCGGCAGACCCCAGATAAGAAGTCATACTTGTAGAAAACAGTTTGACTAGTTACACTGGTTATGGTGCCTGGCACTATAATCACTACAGCATGCTGTGCTTGTTGTGGTGCTTACAGTGTTTCCTTAATCTATAGAAATCCATGATATAAGGATATATGCAAACATCTAGACATGTGCATTGTATTAGAGTTCATTGCAATGTGAAGAGAACATTTTATTTTATATCATAATTTGCAGGCTGCACCAATATATTGGTTCTGATTTGGCAGTGTTTAAAATGAGAATTTGTATTTGATCAATTCCAACTTGCGCTCAATTATATTCCACTAAATTAACATAATTCAACAGATGTTGATATTTTAATGTTTTCTGGCATTCAAATCTTGGACAGCTGTCTTCGAGCTTAGGGAAAAAGCAAACATTTAGAGTTAAATGCTGAACATATGTTTAAATAACCAATTAGAGAGAAAAAGAAAACAATGCATTATCCTTTCTAAGGACAGTAGGTATGCAATGCCAAGATTTTGGAATGTTTTTGGTACACAGTTATAACTCCAGAGCCTCTGGGGAGAAAGGTTTGTAAAGGCATGATAAATAGCTGTAAAGGCAGGATAAATAATTGTGTAATGTCAGAGTGACAAGTATTTTTTTTTTCTCTTTTCTTTTTTGTGTGTATGTGTATAAGAAAGGTAGGGATTGGACACTTGTAAATTAACGCACATCTCCCAATTTGTTTCAGCATAATGCATAACAGATCATGACAACTATGGAAGTCTGTTTTCATTTAATATAAAATATTGTTGGAAAAAATAAATCTTTTATCATCTAATAACATGTACTATACTCTGGTGTAGCATAGAACTGGGTGGAAAAAATGAGATTTGTTTCTATGTACTATTAATACTATGCTTATTTAATCTACTAACCGTTACTCTTGCGTTTAGGGTTACCTGCTTAACCCCTTAAGGACCAAACTCCTGGAATAAAAGGGAATCATGACATGTCACACATGTCATATGTCCTTAAGGGGTTAAAGGGACACTATAGTCACTTGAACAACTTTAGCTTAATGAAGCAGTTTTGGTGTATAGAACATGCCCCTGCAGCCTCACTGCTCAATCCTCTGCCATTTAGGAGTTAAATCCCTTTGTTTATGAACCCTAGTCACACCTCCCTGCATGTGACTTGCACAGCCTTCCATAAACACTTCCTGTAAAGAGAGCCCTATTTAGGCTTTCTTTATTGCAAGTTCTGTTTAATTAAGATTTTCTTATCCCCTGCTATGTTAATAGCTTGCTAGACCCTGCAAGAGCCTCCTGTATGTGATTAAAGTTCAATTTAGAGATTGAGATGCAATTATTTAAGGTAAATTACATCTGTTTGAAAGTGAAACCAGTTTTTTGTTTTTTTTCATGCAGGCTCTGTCAATCATAGCCAGGGGAGGTGTGGCTAGGGCTGAATAAACAGAAACAAAGTGATTTAACTCCTAAATGACAGTGAATTGAGCAGTGAAATTGCAGGGGATAGATCTATACACTAAAACTGCTTTATTTAGCTAAAGTAATTTAGGTGACTATAGTGTTCCTTTAAAATCCTTTGTTAGAAATAGTTTGATTGCTTTTTTTGGTACAACGTGACAAGACCTGGATAGACCTTTATTACTCTTATACTACTCTTTCAGACATAGGATCCGTACATCCTTGAGTTTTCACGATGCAGTTAAATTAAAGACGTGATAGTTGTAGCTAGAACATTGACATCTGGAGCTTATCTATACCGCAGTCATAAAAAGTGTGATTTTCAAATGTAAGCAATATTTTCAAATTAGAATATATGCAAAATAGTTTTCAAAGCAATACCAATTAGACAATGTGTCCAGAACCTATAAAGTTTATGTATTTGTTTCACTACAGTGGAGGCAGTGTTGGTTTTTAATTTTATTTATTTTTTAAAATTTCTTTCTCTTTTATTTCTTGGGGAGTGGGTTTTGTTAATGTAATATTCTTCAAATTGTAAACATCAGATTGTGGTTAGTGCTTCCAAATATGTTTACAATTTACAGAATGTTTACTTTTTTTATTTAAAGGAACTGTATAGGTAAGAAAATGGATATCCCTTCCCCCCAGACCCCCGAATAGTAAACCTAATGTCACGGAATGCTTTTTCCCCAAATAGTGTAAAAATTAGCTTTAGATGTACCTGTTTTAATCGTTATTTTGATCAGATTATCTGCCACGCCTCTGATTTTATGTCATATCTCCCTGCTTCCTGTATTTCATCCAGGCTATCCACCAACGGCCATGCTCCAGTGATTCTCTATGAGAATTCGTAATGACACACCCACAATGTCTGTCCACCAGTGGCCACGCTCCAGGGATTCTCTTTGAGAATCATTAATGACACGCCTTACTTCACTTAGCTCCAGACATGCCCACAATGCCTGTCCAAGCCTTCTGTGAGTCCTTAGCACTCGAATACTAGAACTTACAAACCACAACTCACACACACTAACATTTCCTCATCACATTAGATATCATATAGGGTCATGTGTTTATTATAAGTATGTCTGTGTGTCTACCTCTCTCTCGCTCTCTCTCTCTCTCTCTCTCTCTCTCTCTCTATATATATATATATATATATATATATATATATATATATATATATATATATATATATAGAGAGAGAGAGAGAGAGAGACACAGACATACTTATAATAAATACATGACCAGGGGCGTTTTAGCCGCGAGGCAAACAAGGCATTTGCCTTGGGCGGCATTTTTCAGGGGGCGGCAAAAAACGCCGCCCCCCCCAAATGCCCAGGCAAATGCCTTGTTAGCCTCGCGGCTAACTGACATGCTGGGCTGGCGGGCGGCTGGCGAGGGAGCTCTTCCCCTGAGCGATCTGCTCAGCTCCCTCGCGCGCCGCAGAGTGAGGCTGGGAGCCGGAAGATGACGTCATCTTCCGGTTCCCAGCCTCACTTTACGGCGCGCGAGGGAGCTGAGCAGACCGCTCAGGGGAAGAGCTCCCTCGCCAGCCGCCCAGCCCAGCCCGGCAACCACTGGACCACCAGGGAGGTAATGAACCCCTCCCCCCCAGCACTCCCAAAGGTAAGGAGGTTGGGGGGGGGGGTAAATAAAAAAAAAATGTGTTAATGTGAGTGAGTGTGTGTGTGTGTTTTGTTAGTGTGTGTGTGTGTGTGTCTGACTGTGTGAGTGTGTGTCTGACTGTGTGTGTTTGTTAGTGTGTGTCTGACTGTGTCTGTTAGTCTGTGTGTCAGTGAGTGTGTGTTTGCCTGTGAGTGTGTGTGTGTCTGCTAGTGTGTGTGTGTCAGTGAGTGTGTGTCTGTTAATGTGTGTGTGTTAGTGTGTGTGTGTCTGCTAGTGAGTGTGTGTCTGTTAGTGTGTGTGTCTGACTGTGTTTGTCTGTTAGTGTGTATGTGTGTGTCTGACTGTGTGTCAGTGAGTGTGTGTGTCAGTGAGTGTGTGTCTGAGTGTAGTGTCTGTTGTGTGTGTGTGTGTGTTTCTGTTAGCGAGTGTATGCGTATCTGTCAGTGAATGTATGTGTGTGTGTGTGTGTGTATTTATTTAGAAGGCGGGTTGGGGGGCGCCTGAGTTTTGTCCTGCCTAGGGCAGCACAAAACCAGGCTACACCACTGCACATGACCCTATATGATATCTAATGTGATGAGGAAATGTTAGTGTGTGTGAGTTGTGGTTTGTAAGTTCTAGTATTCGAGTGCTAAGGACTCCCAGAAGGCTTGGGCATAGTGTAGATTGGATTAGCCATATTAGTCCAGTAGACAAGATGCCAAAATACCAGAGTATTGCAGTATGCAACGATACCTTTTTTTATTGGACTAACATAATATTCGAGTTTCCTCTCTTGCTCAGGTCTGAAGTAATACTGATCAATCTGAAAGAGTTTAACATTTAAAGGACCACTATAGGTTCAATTAAGTGGTCTGTGTGCCAGGTCCCCGTAGTTTTAACCCTGCAGGTGAAAACATAGCAGTTTAAGAGAAACTGCTATGTTTACACTGCAGGGTTAATCCAGCCTCTAGTGGCTGTCTCCCTGACGGCCACTAGAGGCTGCTTCCGCGCTTTACACTGAGTAAATTGCACTTATCTGACACTGGACGTCCTCACGGAGTCCAGCGTTAGATAAGATCCCCAAGGAAAGCATTGAGTAATGCTTTCCTATGGGCAGTTTGAATGCTCGCGTGTCTCCAGCCGTGCATGCACATTCGACTCCACTTGGGAGCTGACATCGGCGGGGGAGGAGAGGTCACTAGCTCCGAGAGAGCCAAAATAAGTATAAAACTCACGTTTATTTCAGCGCTGCACGGGTCTGCCAGTGGTGATCCTCGGGGATCTTCAGAACTGACGATATCAGCCGATCCAACGCTTTCCCACAGGAAAGTATTTGATTGGCTGAGATAGTCAATTCTGATGATCTCAGCCAAGGAAACTGGTAAGGAAGTGGAGCCAAATGCCATGCTGGCCAATCAGCATTTCCTCATAGAGATGCATTGAATCAGTACATCTTTATGGGAAAAGTTTAGCATCTCCATGTAGTGTGCAGAGACACTGAACATCCCAAGAAACACCTCTAGTGGCCATCTGAGTAACTACCACTTTGGTTGTTCCTCTGCAGCAATGTAAACACTACCTTCTCTCTGAAAAGTCCGTGTTTACAGCAAAAAACCTACAGCAACAGGCTGTAGACACGACAATGACTACATTAAGGCGTAGTTGTTCTGGTGACTATAGTGTCCATTTTAAATACACATTTTTTTATTGTATAGATAGATAAATATAGATACATATATAATTTATATAACTAGGACAAATAATTTATAGATACTTATAATGTCTGCAGAACCCACGTCTTTCTTCTTCTCCTTAATATGCACTTGGCCATTATGTATTTTTTTATATTACATGGTATTTTTATGTTAAAATGTGCTGCTCAGGAGTGTAACTACAGATTGGGTCTTGTATATTCTTCTTGAGATTAGGGCCCCCAAACTTTGATTTATTATTAGATTTTTTTATTCTGTAAAGTTATGATAGTAGACATTCCAGCATGCAAAAATGCATTTCAGGGAGGTGGCTTCACAAGCTACTGCACCCCTGCCCCCGCGCGCTACCCTCACAACACACACAGACACACACACAAACACCTTGACACACAGATACATGTACACACACAGATGCGCACACCGGTGCATACACACTCTGGCACATACACAATTTTACACAGATACATACACTAGCACACACTCTGACCTACAGATACACACAGTATCACACATTCAGTTGCACACACTGACACACACACTCAGATACATACACACACTGGCACATTCACTCAGATACACACACTGACATACAGATACACAAACTAGCATGCACACACTGACTTACAGATACACTCAGATACACACACTAGAACACACACTGATACACACACTGGCAGATACACACTCTGGCACATTGAAACACACCCAGATTCATGCACCATGGCACATACACTCACACACACTAGCACACACAGACCGACACACACACACTCAGATAAACACAGAGGCATACAGATACACATGCTGGCATACACACAATCTGACACACACAGATCATTCTTTATATATTTGCAGTCACCCTCCTGCTAGCTTATCTTTGTGTCCAGGAGGGTGGCTTGCTTGGAGTTCTGGCTGAGGCCGATGGGCGTGAGCATGCTGCAGCAGCTCACTCCAGTCTTGCATGTATCTCCATGCTGCCTCCTTCCTCCATTCCTCCTGGGCGCGCAGCTCTCTGTGAAGCAGGGAGGAATTAGCTGTCACTTTCTCCCTGCCGGCTGATACCACAGGGGCTTGGTTGGCTCTTAAAGGACCAGCACCTGACTGGCCCCTGTTTGAGTAGTATAGTGGTGTTAGGGGGCGCAAGTCATATACAATATAATAGAAATCACACACACACATCAGATCGTGTGTGTGATTTCCGGGATATTGTGTATGACTAGCGGGTGTCAGAGAGCAGCATTCACCATGCAAGAGTCTCCCGGAACTACCGGGAGACTTGGGATGTCTGTGATAGATGCAGGTAAATCACCTAGAATTATGTGCTTGTTTATTTTATTTTGTCTTCTTTAACCCCATACATATATTCCTCCAGAATTAAATGTAAAATGCCATTCATTTTGAAGAAGATGCCAATATTAAAAGACAAAGCTTCTTTTAAAGTGTATATTGGGGATAACCTTCACATCCTGTAATAATCGGGTAGACCGTCTACTGGTCTGGAAGGAGTCTGCCTGCTACCAACACTAGCCTGTGCAAGTGGTGCAGTTTTAGAGTCAAGTTTCCCAGTGTCTCTTTTTTTTTATATTTTGGATATTTAATGCATTGCAAGCAGATCTGTAAATTTTGGGGGTATTTGCATATTTCGAAACGGACAGATCTTGTGTGGTTCTGGTAGCCGTGGGATGCAGGGAAGGTGAATTTTATTTACTTGCGGCTGTCCCTTGTAGCAGCCACCATATTGAAGCTGCAGGTCCTCTTCAGGTGCTTCAGCTGCCAGGAGCCATGTCAGTTCTGTATCCTTGTGCGAGAGTACAACGCTGAGATCTATGGAGGATCCCGCAAGATCCTCCAGAGAAAAAGCCCGTATTCCACAGTAGTCATTAGTGACAGCTGCAAGGTCTGCTCCTCCTTTTGCCAACATCAAGCTTTACCATAAGACAAAAGAGTCTCTACCTTGTCCTTATAACTTTAGATTACATTTCTGATTACATTCAGAAATTTTACATAGTTACATAGCTGAAAAGAGACTTGTGTCCATCAAGTTCAGCCTTCCTCACATTTGTTTTTTGCTGTTGATCCAAAATAAGGCAAAAAAAAACCAGTTTGAAGCACTTCCAATTTTGCAACAATCTAGGGAAAAAATTCCTTCTTGACCCCAGAATGGCAGTCAGATTTATCTCATTTATTTATTATTTTACATTTGTTATGAAAATGCAGAAAAGTGACAGATGCGCTTTAAAGGAAAACGTCATTTAGCATAAGCACTTAAGCGCTTTGTATTAGTTATGGTGCCATGATTTCTCTAGCACCCTTCCAGGTTAAGTAGTCAAACCATTGACACACAGTTTGAAGACCGGTGGCCACTGGTCACCTCCTCTTGCGCAGCCAGAAGATCTGATAAGCTGAGAATACTCAGCTGACATCCTAGTTCATTGGCGCTAATGGAAGCTCCTGACAGGAGTTTGTATCTCTGCAGGAGGTGCCTGCCGGACCCAGGTTTAAAGGACCACTATAGTGCCCTGAGGGTGCCCCCACCCTCAGGGACCCCCTCCCGCCCGGCTCTGGAAGGGGGAAAGGGGTTTAAACTTACCTTTTTCCAGCGCTGGGCGGGGAGCTCTCCTCCTCCTCCTCCTTCTCTCCTCCCGTCGGCTGAATGCGCACGCGCGGCAAGAGCTGCGCGCGCATTCAGCCGGTCACATAGGAAAGCATTCATAATGCTTTCCTATGGACGCTGGCGTGCTCACTGTGAAAATCACGGTGAGAAGCACGCAAGCGCCTCTAGTGGCTGTCAATGAGACAGCCACTAGAGGATTAGGGGGAAGGCTTAACCCATTCATAAATATAGCAGTTTCTCTGAAACTGCTATGTTTATGAAAAAATGGGTTAACCCTAGCTGGAC